GGAAGCTGGTGTCTCTGAGCGCCCAGAACCTCGTTGACTGCACCAGGAGCTATGGGAACAAAGGCTGCGGCGGCGGATGGAAAAACAAAGCTTTCCAGTACATCATCGACAACCATGGGATTGACTCGGATGCGTCCTACCCCTACACGGCTCAGGTAGGCATCAGACCTGGGCAACGCTTAGATTGGCTCAGCTTAAAATGGAAGAATTAAAAGTCCTGTTGCTTCCAGAGGAAATCTGCTTCAGAAAACCATCGAGTTGTCTGTCTTTAATGCCGCGAGCATCGGTTCTGACTCGCATAACGCAGAGCAGGACTATCTGCAGGATCTGACGCATCTTCCCCCTTACCTTCGCTTGCCAGGACGGTGTGTGCCGCTACAACCTGACGGCGCGGGCAGCCACGTGTTCCAGGTACATCAAGCTGCCGCACGGCGACGAAGCGGTGCTGAAGGATGCTGTCGCCAACGTGGGACCCATCTCTGTCAGCATTGATGCCAGTCAGCCCACCTTCTTCTTGTACAAAACCGGTGGGTCTCCCAGGGGATCACGAGAAAGGGATGTGCTTTCCTTTCCATGACTCAACTTCCTTAAATTATTTCAGCTTTGATTTGCATTTAGCTTGTGTTGCCCTCATTCTTGGCGACAAATACTACTGACGCCTCCCAAAGAGTGAATTTAATTCCCATTTGGGCAGTGACTTAGGGCAAGTTTTCCAAAGGCTGTTTCCAAATGCCTTCCAGGTATCTACTATGACCCGAACTGCTCGCAGGTGGCGAATCACGCTGTGCTCGTCGTCGGCTACGGCTCTTCAGGTGGGGAGGACTACTGGCTTGTGAAAAACAGGTACAGCAAACCCAGTCACTGAGCAGCTTTGCCTCTCAGCCTCCGCTCCGAGGGGCACCCTGAAGGTTTCAAAGACGTGCCGGTGATGCGCTTTTCGATGCCCGTCAGCTTTCCTTAGGTACGTTTAGGGCTCAGCTCCATTGCAGAGGAGGTGTAAAGGGCCCTCGATTAAGCCCTGCAAACCCGAATTGACATACGTCACCCAAAACACTCCTGCCTGACTCCTCAGTGCTGGCTCAAAAAATGGGATTTCTGCTCTGCGGGAAACTCCAGGATTTCCAACATTCCTGGATGCCGAGTCAGCGCAAAGGGCTGGTGCTTCTCGGAGAGAGAAACCGAGCTGGTTTGATTTGGGCACACGCTGGCAAACCCCCTCCTTCAGCCAATTTGGAGGCACAGCCTCAAGGACCATTGCAGCCAGGCTGCCCCTTGCATTACAATGTATTTGTGAACATTTTTTATCACTGTTTAAAATGTAGAACAAGAAGAAACAAAGCATTGAAATGAAACAGTCCTGCTCGGACAGACACATCTGTGGAAAAAAACCAAACCCTGCGATGTCAGCAAAGCTACATTCAGCAACTGAAAACCATTATCTTTTTTTTAAAAACAACAACAAAAAAACCCCCAACTGTGGGCAGTTCTGTCAACAAAGCTCCTTTATCCTCATGTCAGGGCTGGCCTAAAAACCCACCAGTTTCCTCCTCTGTCTCTCATCTCTGGCCTTGGTAGGATTTTTAAAAAAAAAAAAAGTATTTTTAATATACAAAACTAATTCATTCACCTTTATCTGGTATTTCCCTAGTGGTTTTGACTCACTCTTGCACACAGAAAATAAGTGATTTTTTTCTGCCCCCACCCAAAGATTTAGTGGCAGCAAAATCTGGCAGGGAAGAGGTCAGGAGGTTCAGCCTTTTTCGCCAAAAGATGCGAATTTGGCTATTCCTGTGGCTGCTGGGGAGGAAGCATGAGCTGAAACAAAAGAAAACAAAACAAAAACCCACAAGGTGCGGGGAGAGAAAAAAGTAAGGGTGAGGGGTGGTACGGAAGAAGGCAGCTACCTCCCGTTGTCTAATTTTTGCTTTTTCCAAAAGCTGGGGCGTGCATTTTGGCGACCAGGGCTACATCCGGATGGCGAGGAACCGTGGAAATCACTGCGGGATTGCCAGCTACGGTGCTTACCCCCAGATCTAGAGGGTTCCCGGCTTCAGGACGAGCTCTTGAGGTGCCACCACTCGCCCTGCTGATCTCGAGCCTGCCTGGCTCTGCTCCAACCTCCCCTCCTTGAGGAATCCCGTTGCATTTCTACAGAGAAGCAGCAGAAATTAGGAGCCATGCAGTTGGCTTGCTCGAGCATCTCAACGAGTACGACCATCGCGTTCACCCTCCCCAGGAACTTATCCACTAATAAGGGATAATCTGTTGGGAATTATTTCAATTATTTAGGTGGAGGGCTCTCTGTTGTCATTGCTAACTCTTGCAATCTCCAGCAGCTTTTTAGAAAATGACTCACTGCATCTTCAAAGCTCTTGAGACACTGTTTCGCTTCCTCCTCTTCCCACAGAAGATGGTTTCTTGCGGCCATTTTAGGTCCCATGATTCTTTGTATTGGTGAGAAGTGTGCCCGCCTGCCTGGCTGTCCTTCGTGGGAACCCGGAGGATGCCCTGACCGGAGGCTGGAGCATGATTTTCAGGCAGCTGGAGGCTTTGCTTGACTGTGTTTTCAGCCTGACTGCAATATAATGTGCGTTAAATGTGCCTCCTGCTGTCCGTGCATCACTGAGGCCGGCCAGCTCAGCTCCATCCTGTGACTGTATTTAAACCACATCTTCCCATCTGTGCCACCCCATCAAAAAGTGAATAAATGTGATTTTTTTTTTTTCTTAATTAATTTTTTTTCCTCCCTCTAAGAGCTAGCTTTTGTCTGGTTGGTACACCGCTGAGGTGAGATGGGAGCTCAGATCTACCCAGTTCAAACCAGTAGCAAGACTCCATGCTTGACCTCATCCTGTCTCTTAGCTCAGCACCAAATCACAAAAATGCAAAAATTGTATCAGAGAAGTGTGACTCCTGCTCCTGCCTGCTGGCCCCACAAGCCATATAAACCACTGTGAGAGCTTTGCTGTTAATTTTTGGGGTGCTGGAAATAGGAAACTCTCAGCTGCAATCATTTGCTCATGGTTGTTGAGGGTCCTGCTTCAAATAACCCTGTGACTGGCACAGGAAGCCTGGTTTCCAGCTAAGTGAAAATGAAATCAGAGTATTTCCTCATTTCCTGACTCGTGATTTGTCTGACGAGTAGCAGCTGCCGTGGTGCCAGAGGTCCTGGGCATCCCAGCGGTGGGGACGCACTGGTTTTGTCCCCCGCACCCCCCCGTCCCATACACGTGCGCTGCTGCGGAGCCGAAGATCGGTACCCACCACCGGAAGAAGCCTTTTCAGGTACATTGGGTGCTTTTGTGTTTTAACACTCCTCTGGGAGGACTGAGCTTTGAGGAAGTACAACTGAAGGAACAATGTTTCTATGCTGACTCTGACTCCATCTTATCTCTAAAGCCCTCTCTGCGTAGTTGAATTGCACAGAGTAGCCCATCCTCAGGAGCTGGTGGACATCAGCTGGATGAAACTAGGATTTTATTTTTATTTTTTTTTCTTTTTAAGGTGCTGGAAAACACAGGTTTGTCAAAACAGCCACTTGACTGGGCGATGTGTAAGCCTCCTTCGGGGAGGTTTTCTCGGGCAGGGTGGAACCGTGAGACGAGGCGCGTGTCTGGATGTGTCCCTGCGTGTCCGTGTCCACATGGGCAGGGGTTGGGTCCAGCAGACTTTGCCCCCCAAGGGACGTTTCTGAGTCCTGGATGGGATTTCTCTTCCCATCTCGCAGGGGCTGGGGGTACGCAGCAGGCGAGCAGGGCAGGCAGTGCCGCTGCGGGGTGCTTGTCTGG